GGGATATATCATATCGTGACCCCTCTGTCATGATATGTATCGTATCACCAAATTCTTGCCAATACACAGCCCTACTATTTGTTTCAAAAAAGAAAACCTATTCTGGATTTGTCTTTAAAGAGAGGGCAGAGTTAAGAGATGCTCTGGAATTATAAATGAAAGTGTCATCAGCGTACGGTAGGGGTATAACAATACATCGATCTATATCGATATATTGATATGAATGGTTCATGATTCAGTTATATTGAGGCAAAATGAAATATCAGTCTATATCGTTATCATATGCCCATCTAACACAGTCATTGTGTTAGATGGGCATATGATATTGCATTATCGATCGCAGACATGTAAATTGAACTGAATCGAAATCATATCATGACAGACTTCGTGATATCGAGAAATATTGAATTGTCATCCAAACATGTTGATGTAATCATATCGTGATAAGATAGTGATTTACACCCTTAGCGTACAGATGGGTGTGAACCTGACATTTACTTACAGAATTCGTTTCATTGTAAAGGCGTAAGAGAGTTGGACCAAGTCTGCTAACTGGCTTGAATTGATATAGTGCCTTATCAAGTCCACTTGGACCCCAAGGCGCTTCACAAAGACAACGACTGAAATGGCTGGACAGGGAATCGAACCGGCGACCTTCCAGTTCCAGGACGACGCCCCTAACCACTCCAGCACAAGTATGGAGCCTTGGGGAATGCCTTTGTGGATAGATATTGGGTCTGACAGGTGACCCTCTGCCCTCACTGTGTACTTTATACACCCACAGTGGTACCTTCTGAACCAAGCTATGCAGCTCTCTGACACACTGACATTTCTTAGTTTTTCTATCAGTACTGAGTGTTTTGGGGTTCAGTTCTCAAAACTGGAATTTAAAATACAGGTCATAACAGCATTAGCTATCTGTTAAGTAGGGTTGGACARTGTTGGCAAAAACAAAATTATTGCAATTAATTGTGGTATTTAGCCGATAACGATTAATCCCCTGGAGTCCCTGGACGCCTGCTTGTTCTAGTCACGTGACCAATTTAAATCACTCTAGTGGGAAAGATTAGCTCTCTGTAAAAATCTGTTCCAAATTGTGTCAAAAGTGCAGACTTTATACATACATGTTTTAATTGTTTTGATAGACCAAGTAAAACTGGAGTTTTGATAACTAAATTACAGAACTTTAAAAATATAGTTTGTTATATTCGAAGAGAAGAGAAGAGGAGCATTGAGCGGACTGACCGGGAAAATCTCCAGCCTGGCGTCATTAATCCTATCAATTGTGAAGTACCAAAAAATAATCRATTACAGTTTTTCTGAAGATTAACTGCACATGATGGGCGGCTGTGATGGAGTGGTTAGGGAAGTCGTTCCATTACCAGTTCAGTCCCCTGTTCCAGCTGTCTCAGCCATTCTGTCCTGGGGCAAGACACTTCACCTGCCTTGCCTACTGATGGTGGTCAGAGGGTCCGGTGGCACTGATGCATGGCAGCCCCGTCTCTGATGGTGGTAAGCTACACTGTAGCCACAGCTGCCCTGGGGCACGCTGACAGTGTGTGAATGTGTGTGCACGGTGAAGTGTAAAGCGCTTTGGGGTACATATGACATGATAAAGTGCTATGTGTCATTTACAATATGATTTTGCCCAACACTACTGTTAAGGTAAAACAGAATTGCACCTTCCTAATTGATTCCACTGTGCATCATTTTATCCATAGATCCATGGCAAAGTGGCTGAAGGACTACCTAAACTTTGGCAGCAGGCGTGACCCTCCTCAGCCCCCGAGGCCAGATTACACAGAAAGTGAGATTTTAAGGGCCTACCGAGCTCAGAAGGAGCTGGATTTTGAGGATCCATACCAACACTTGGACAAGGAGCACCAGAATGGTGGTTTCACTTCTTGTACTGCAACAGTGAGCCTTCCCTCTTTTCCTGCATTTGGTTCTGTGCTGCCGAACGGTGTGGAGGTATACGTCTATAATGTTGCCTGTGTTCAGTTTGTTTTGTTCCGAGCCCCATACGTCACCACATCACATCATCTTTTTTAGATAAGCTTAGGTTGTGTGGTTATTTATCCATGTTCAACATGAACTCAAACACAGTTCTTTTGGTTTGAATTTGTTTTAATTGCGTGTGTTATGTTCAGGTGAAAGTCGTGTCTCCCAAACACAGACTAATTAAAGTGGACTCTCAGGAGTTTGGGCGCTGTAAAATTCCTCTAAGTCCGGTCACTGTTCAAGAAGAAACTGTAAGCACTTTTTTGTGTTTTATTTTCCACTTAATTATTTTTTGTGCTATTTCTCTTTATTTATTCACTCATCTTCATATCCACTTTTTAAAGCTGCAACTTTACTTTGGGGCTCMGATCATTTATAAAATGACTTGTGGTCTGTTTGATGCTCTTTTATTTGTTTCTCTCAAGGTGGTTCCCTCTGCCCCAGCAGCATCCGATGCTGAAACGGACTACTCTGATCCATTTGATGCACGTCCAGAGCCAGCAGCTGGAAGAAACTGGGAGCTGAAATCTCCACYGACAGACTGCTGCAGCTACATGGAACCATTTGAGGCCCAGCGGATTATTTCAGGTTTAATACAGATTTTTATTTCAAATGGAAAAGTATTATTAGTGCTAGCCTGTGTGTGCTATTGATCTAAACTCTGCTACATGTGCATCTCTGTTCAGAACTGCAACACAGCGGTCTGACGAACAGGTCTGCAAGTGGAGACKGTGGGCAGTTGTATGATAACCCGTACGAGGAGAAGAACCGTCACCGCCATCAAACTGTTCCTCCATCACAACAACAAACGCAGAAGGTTGACRGCGGACTCGGCGTAATAGAAATCAAGGAGAGCAGACTTCCTCAGGATGACGAGAGGCCGGCTGATGAATACGACCAGCCGTGGGAGTGGAAGAAAGACAACATCTCCAAAGCTCTCGCAGGTTATCTGGTTTTCCTGACATTACATTTTTTGTGTTTTTTGTTTTGTTTGTTATCAAACATTTTATTTTTTATTCATAAGCTCTTCATTTTTTCTGTCTGGCTATAGTTCAGTTCGAAGGAGTAGAAAGGGAGCGCTCGCGATCTCAGACAGAACAGACCAGGTTTATGAAGACGGGCTCTTCATCCATACCTTCTGATTCGACGACGCTCCGTCTCGTTGGTGACACTCCTCCTCTGCTGGGGGAAAGAGTGGATCCATTCCTGCCTCTGGAGAAGCAAGTGTAAGTGAGAGCTCGGCTTTAAACAGTTGTTTCTCTGTTTCAAATATAATTTTTCACAAGAAAAATAATGGCAGCTAAAGCTCAGGTGTTRGTATTCTAACTTAAATCATGTTTTTTTAAAGGGTTGACGGTGTCAACAAGACAAAATTTGAGTTTGTTTTGCTTTTAAAGCAAAATTTAACATTTGATGAATAACCTGAATAACAAATAGTTCATTTGAAAACATAAYGTTGATTTTAATAACAAATCACTCAGTAAACTTCAAATGGTTCAAAATTCTGCTGCCCGCATCATCACCAARCAACCTCATTTCACCACATCACCCCAGTTTTACAACAACTCCACTGGCTTCCAGTCATATTCAGAATTCAATTTAAAATCCTGTTGTAGACGTTCAAGGCCATCCACAACCT